GCTGGGGGGGCGCTTGGGATGGGGGTCACTGGGGTTGGGATCGGGACTGGGACTGATTTTTTTGTTAATTAATTATTAAAGGACACCCCCCCCAATCTGGTGTGTTCCAGGCTGGGGGCTGTGACACCCCCCTCGTCCCCATCACTCCCCCATCCCCATCCCCAGCTGCAGTGACCCAGGGCACCGGGGGGGTTTGCATCTATTTGGGAGACAAAATATTTGGGGGTCCTCCAGCCATAGGCTGTCTGGCAGCAACTCCCCCCCCCCGCAGGCAGGGAGCAGGCAGGGGTCAGCGCTGTTTGGGGGGGGCAGGGACCTCAGAGGGACTCAGCATGAGCAGATTTGGCCCCTGGTTCGCTGACAGCAGTTCACCCAACCTGCCACCCACTGTCCCCATCGGCCACCCACCACGTGTCCTTGGGGCGCACGAGGTCTTTCTGGCAAAGGGGAGGGAGAAAGAGGGGGTGAAGGGCTCCCCGTTTGGCCCACGGGGTATCTCAGGGTGCAGCAGTAGCAGAAAGCACCAAGGCAATGGTGAACCTGAGTGAGGGCAACTCTGACACTTACTGGGACCAGTAAAAGGTCACCACAGCCACTGAGCTGAGCCACAGTTTAATTCTGCTGAGGCGACCGAGCCACAGTGGTTGGTTCCTCTCCATCACCTGGTTGCCCTCCATCTGTTCTTTCCTCTCTGTCATTCTCCTCTCCATCGTTGTCCCCAGCATAAGGCAACTTCATGCCCAGGCCTGGGATGGGGATGTTCAGATGCAGAGATGGACTTTCTTGCAAAGACAGCCAGATGGACCAACACACACACCAGCACCGTGGCCTCTGCTGTGGATGAGGATGGACACCAGACCTCCAGACTCTAACTCAGCTTGCTGAGGGACACCCAAAAATTTGCCAGGAGCCTCCGATCCAGGACAGACATTTGCTTCCCACCATGCGAGGGCTTTGAGGCAGAACAAAAGGCTTGGCAGCAGTAAAGCCACGGCACGGCTGGGCACCGTGTCCCTCTGCCAGGAGCACAGCTGAGCTTGGCAGCTCAACCCACCCAGACCTTCATCTTCCCCCCCCTACAGGGAGAAAGCAACTGCTGTCTCTATTTCAGCACACAAAGACAACGCCATGCCCAGTTGGGTGGATAAATTGGTGTCGCTTGGCTGCCTTGGGCTGGCTTCAGCTGCATGACCTTTGGGACAGGGACATTGGGGAACGGGGAGGGCTTGGGTTCTGGGCGCTTGGGCTGGCAGGTTGTGCCCCTACCTCCTCCAGTTTGGACAAAGGGGAGATGATGTCCCCACACATCATCAATGTGACCTTGCTGGGGTAGGGGCTGTTGAAGGAGACGGTGTAGAAAAGCCTCCGCTTGTGCTCCTGCACCATGTTGAACTCAATGGCCCTCATCTCCTCGACTGTGCTGGGAGGCACAGCCAAGGGAGGCGTTAGGACCATCCTCCCCACCCCAGTACCTAATACCTGCTCAATAAGTCTTCTCCAGGTTTTCCAACCATGGCTTTCCACCAGCAAAGTCCTCTCCCATGCCAGAAGCCACAGGCTGATATGTCCCTGTGACCCCAATGCCTCCAGATGGGTGACAGCCACCAGCTTCCCCCCCCCAACCCAAAAGGGACAGCTCTCTCCAGAGAGGTTTTATCTGGGCTGTGTATAAATGGGCTGATCCCCCCCGTCCACCCTACAACCAAGCCAGCAAAGAGGCAGGAGGTTTGGAGCAGGTCTTAGACTCTGAGCTCCTCCCGGATCTGTTTGTACTCTCTGATGTTCTCCTTGCTGCTTTCCAAGAGGCGTTGGACTTCAGGCAAGATCTCCTCGCCCAGTTTGCCCAACTTGCTGTAGGTGAACAGGTCCTGGGAGGCAAACGTGGAGACCCCATCCCCGATCACCTTCAGGCTGAGCTGAGGGTCCATGTTGACTTCTCCGCTGTCCAGCTGAAAGGGTTAACACAGCAATGTGCCTGTGTCTTCTCCTCCATCGGCTGCACGCAAGGACCAACCCTCGGCATCAAACAAGCCAAGCCCAGAGTCCAGCGCTACAGAGATGGAAATCCTGGCCTTTAAATGCTGATGGTGGGTGCAAAGTGCAGATCTCTGCTATAACCACCTTCAAACTGCTGGAAGATCTCCACTTCTAGCCTCCTCCCCTCCTCCCATTGGTGTTTTTTGTAAGAAACACCCATTTTATCAAACGAAGGCCTCACTCATGATGAAGATGAAGTAAATGGCCACCTTCATCTTCAGAGTCTGCCCTTCTTCCCTGTTGGGGACAGGGGCCATCTGGTTGACAGTTGGTGGTGGCCACCTCCCCAGCACCAAGCCCCAAGGAAGCCTCTCAGCATCCACAGGAAAGGAGTCCCCCCATGTGGCCCACATCTCTCCCAGGGTGGGGGGACAACACAGCTCAGCCCCAGCCATCCCTGAGCCCCCCTGCCCCGTGGTGGGCTCAGTCCCTGCTGCGTGCTCACTGGAAGGTCTCGTAGATGTCCAGCCTGCCGTCCAGAGTGATGCAGGTGAAGAGCGAGTACAGGGCTTTCTCCAGGCCACCAAAATGGGCCAGGACAGATTTGCCAAACAGGATGATGCCCAGCACCGAGAAGATCTGCATGGGGACAATGCTGTGGGTCCCAGCACCTTCCCCACGCTGGGAGGGATGCTCAGCATCCTCCAACCCCCAGCACTGGTGCTCCCTGGCAAGAGCAGGGTCTGGCCAAGCTCCTCAGCCTTGGTGCTGGGAGCTGAACCCCCTCCCCCAGCATCCCTGAGCCTGCCAGAGAGGTGGGATGGACCAACGTGGTGGGAAAGGACCATCCTGCTGCTGCCTTTGTGCCTGCTTTCCCCACGGTCCCTGAGGTGCCATGGCCAGCGCTGGACGCTGGTGGCCAAGATGCTTCCCCAGGCCGATGCTCCTAGTCCAGGCAGGCATTTCCCAGCCGTTTACTGGCATGGAGATAAAGAGGATGACCATGGTGTTACAGAGGTCAGGGATGACCTTGAGGATGGCCTGAAGTATCCTGGCCAGCCCGCAGACCTGCAGCACCATCACCTCATCACCATCAGCCTCATCACCCTGGGGCAAGGCGAGAGAGCCCATCACTGCACTGACCACGGCAGGGGAAGGAGCCAGGAGAACTGGGTCCCCTCCTGGCCTGAGGGTCTGGGGAGTGTCTGCACTACCCCCCCCGGCCCCCAAACCAGGGTAAAAAAGTGAGAGTGATGAGCAAGCGATGACATTGCCTTTCCCAGTGCAGATCCAACATGTGGGATGTAGGATGGGGCCACCACGCCTGGACCACAGCATCTCTGCTCAGACCAACATGGGGACACCAGGGGCTTTGGGGTATGGGACCCCCTGCCCTCGCTCACCTCAGGATCTGGAAAACCTTCTGGACCTTCCACTTGGGAATCAGGGCCCCCACCACGAGGCAGGCCACAAGGAAGAAGTTGAAGCCGTTCCAGATGTCTAGCAGGCAGAGGAGCAGGGGGCTGAGGCTGCGTTTGTGGACCCCAGATGAGGGCACTTCCCCTAATATTCCTCCCTCAGGAACATCCACAGGGGAGAGGGGGCTACAAGGGGTCCATGTGCCCCACGGCTACACCGTGGGGGGGGCACAACTGGCCTGGTAGCAGGTGATGGGCCACCAGGCGAGCATAGGTGGCTAGCAGCCCCAATGCCAAACATCCCTGCACCTGGGGGGGGGGGCACCGGAGGAGGTCCCGGTCCTTGCCGGGGTGGGGAACCAGAGGAAGGACCGCGGGGCCGGCTTTTCCTCCTCTCCCCTGGAGACGGCAGCAGCGAGCCACGGCGGCGGCGCCCGCACCGCCCCGGTCCCCCCCCGGCCTCGGCATCCCCGGGCAGCCGCAGCCGGAGTATGTGAGGGAGCGTGGGATGGAGAGATGCAGGGAGGGATGGACACGGGGAAGGAGGGAAGGAGGGACACGGGGAAGGAGGGATGAAGGGACGCTGGAGCCCAAGGACGGAGGGATGGAGGAGGGACTCAGGGATGCAGGGACAGAGGGATGGAGGGACACAAGGATGGAGGAATGGAGGGACTCAGGGATGCAAGACGGAGGGACAGAGGGATACAGGGACATGGAGATGGAGGGACAGAGTGATGGAGGGACTTAGGGATGGAAGGATGGAAGGAATGAGGGATGCAGGGAGGGAGACAGGGGAATGCAGAGATGGAGGGATGAGGGACTCAGGGATCGAGGGACACAGGGAGGCAGACATGCTGAAGGCCTCCAGCCCAGCTCAACACAGCTCCCACCTTCCAGTACAGCCAGAAACCTCTGACCCAGTTGAGCAGGACCTCAGTGACCAGGGCCACAAGCACAACACTGTCTATGATATAGCTTAGCCAAAACTGGAACTGGAGGGAGAAGAGGAGGAGGCGAGAGCACCTCTGGGCCTAGGGCAGGACTGAGGGACACGTGGCAATGGCCCACTGGGAAACCAGCTGAGGCTCTCCCATCGGACCCACACTGGGTGTAAAAATACAAAGCCTTGTGGATTCTCCAGTGGCTAGTATAGATGAATTCCCTGCCGAGATGTGAGCATGGTGACCCCCTACCCATGCACAAAGCTTGCAGGGAAGCAGCCACATTGGGGCATCTCTCCGCCATCAGGCGGGGCTGCGGGGTTTCATGGACCCATCCCGGAGGCAGCAAAAGGGCAAGGGAAAAGCCAAGGGAGCGGGAAGGGCCGGTGGCAGGCGGTGGTGGGCACGGCCGGCACTCACGCTCAAGGGCAGCATCATGGGGGTCTAGCTGGTGCTCACCACCTCCTTGATGACGATAAGCACAGACAAGATGAGCTTGACAGCGGGGTGGGCGAGCAAGTGGCCCATCCATACCCTGGCGATGTATTCCTTGTGGTCCCAGGAGTCCTGGAGGGGGAGGCAGGGTGGGGAGCCCAGAGAGGGTGTCCCTGCTGTCCCGGTGGGCTGTGGGTCCGGCACCCATCACCCACCCCACCCTACCTCACTGCACACCACATCTCTGAAGTCAATGAGCAGCCACTGCGCCTTCTCGTCTGGCTCCCGCTGGCACTGGTGGCAGGGAGGGGACAGAGTGTCAGGCAGGCCCTGGTGGCACCACAACGGATCTGGCCCCCCCAGACCTGGGTCCCCAGCCCAGCCCAGGATGATGGCAGAGGTCCCTCACCCTCCTGGATGCTGGCAGAAGCCCCTGGGGACCTGCTGCAGCATGACCTCACCATTCTAAGCAGCAGAATGTATGACATCATGCTTCCGTGCCTCGTGACATCACTGCTTCTCCCCAGTAAGGGGGAGGGCATGGAAGAGCGAAAGGAGCAGAGGAGTGTTGTGGAGGCAGAGAGGTTGCTGGGGACTCAGTCCCCCAAACTGGTCTGGCTTCAGTTTGAAACCAGAGGGACACTGGTGGCTTCAGCACCCCTGCATAGCCAGGGAAAAGAGAGGGGACAAGGGACACATGCCAGCACTCCCAGAGGCAGGCTGGGCCAGTATCACCATGGGCCTTTCCCAGTTATCCCAGCAGCTCCCCTCCTCTGTCCCAGTTTGCTTCCTGGAGCTGCAGCCACTTCCCTCTATACAGATGGGGAAACTGAGGCACGGAGAGACTCAAAGGCCCCAAATTTTGTGGATGGAGAACCAGGTTTCTGTGCTGATTCAGCCCCACGACCAGGTTGACCTTCCTTGCATCGCATATGTCCCCCAAATGCTCCCCCATCACCCACCCCATCCTCACCCACGGCCACCCCAGGAGTCCCCATGTCCCCACGGGTGTCAGTGGTTCGGGTCTCTCTGGGTGATCAAGCCCATCACAAAGCTCCATGCTCCAAATCCCCTCGTTAATTAAAACCCAGCAATAATGAGTTCCTTTCTCTGCTCCAGCCTTCGCCTCCCTGCAGCCCTGGCGCCAGAGAATTTTGGGGCTGCGTTCAGGTGCGTGGGGAGCCCTGGTCCCTCCGTGGGACAGAGCCCCAATGTCACGCGTGGGAAAGGGAAGGCGAGGGGCTGGCAGGAGCACGCGGGGTGGCTGCTGGGACGCTGGGTGGTCTCCAGGGGGGTGGGGAGGGGGCTTTGCTTTCCCCACCTGTAAAATGAGGGGGGACAACCCTGTTTGTTCCCTGTTAAAGGGAGGGGGCAGGAGCAGCCCCCCCAATCCCATAGGAGCCCCTGGAGCTCCAGCCAAGGGGATACTGAGCTCCACCATGGCTTTGTTTGCAGGATGAGCCCTCCTGGTCTGGCAATTAGGAGCCTCTGGGGTGGAGGGTGCCACAGGAAATTTGGGGGCCTTGGGGAGGATGGTGGGGGAGGCCGAGGTTTTGTTCACCCCTTCCCCACGCTGGAAATTCCGAGCGTGCCTCAGTTTCCCCACTCAGCGCTGGCGTGGGAACCGGAGCAGAGCGAGGCATGAGCAGGGTGTCAAGGGTGCTGGGAACGCCCTATGCTGGGCAGGATGGGGCCAACGGGTTGTGTGGGGCTGGTTTGGGTGCCATCCCCAGCAGAGCCCAAAATACACCGGCAGCCCTGACTCATCCCCACCCACGGAGCCAGGCCAGGGGCTGGGAGGAGCTGGAAGGGCCACAGGGTCCCCCCCTGGGCAAAGCGGCTTCCCGAGCTGGAAGGAAACCCACGGCGCCTGGGGTGGGGGGCCCGGGGGCTGGGGGGGGGGGGCTGCGCGTTTGGATTTGGGGTGCTGTGCATGTGCACACGTGTGGATGCGTGTCCCTGTTGGCTGGATCAGGGTGTGCCCACGTGTGTGTGTGTGTGCATGTGTGCATGCATGCATGTGCATGCATGTGCATGCGTGTGCTCTTGTCGAGTGGGTGCATGTGTGTTGCACCCCGTTGCAGCCCATGGGCAATAGTGCATATATACGTGCGCATACATGTGTCTAGGAGGAGCACACGTGCAGCCGGTGCCTTGCTGTGGGCGTGTGTGCACGCGTGTCTGCCAGAGCGTGCGTGCGTACACACGTGTGTGCCCTCACCGGGGTATGTATGTCCGCATGTGTGCGTACGCGTGTGTGTCTAAGTGCATGCCCACGCAAACGCGTGTGTGTGCATAAGCACACGCGTGCGTGTGCAAGCGTGCACAGGCGCGCGTGTAAGCGCCTGCAAGCGCGCGAGCGCACGCAGCCACCCGTGCATACCCACGTGCGCCTCGGCGCACGTGTGCACCCACGCTAAGTCCCCGCGCGCACCCGCAGCCTCCGAGCGCGCACCCGCGCGCCCGATCCCACGCGTGAGCGCGCCCAAGCGTGCGCGCCCGCCCAAGGCCACGCGTGTGAGCGTTGCATCCGTCCCAGCGAGGCGGCGGCCGGCTGGCGGGGAGCCGGGGAAGGGGGGGGGGGGGGGGCCCAGGCCTTGGCCGGGGCAGGCAGCGGGAGGAGGAGGAGGGAAGTGCGGCTCAGACAGTACGGCGCCAGCAAACACCTGCAAACAGCTCCGGGCACACAATGGCAAATACAGGTGGGGAACCGCGGCCTCCGTCGGCGCAGCCGATTGCATCAGACTCCCGCTCTTGCCAAGAGGCGAGCGAGCCGGCCTGGCCGGCCACCGGCACAGCGGCTGGGGGACGTTTGGCCTTCACCCCTCCCAGCCCCCCTTGGGGTTATTTTTTGGCTTGCCTCATCTTTTTTGCGCCCGTGTAATGTAGTTGGGAAGATAAAAGCCAAGCCTGGTTTGTTCGGCTGGGGGCGGGGGGGGGGGGCTTTTTTTGCCCCCCAAGGTAAATCCCAGCCCTGGCAGGGCAACAGCATCTATTTTTAGTTGTGTTTTTTCCCTTTTTCTTTCTTTTTTTTTTTTTTAAACCAGGGTTTCCAAGGAAAGCATCGGTATCATGCCACAGCCCAGGCTGGGGGTCCGGGCAAGGCTTCTCCATCCCGTCCCCCTCCAGCTATTCCCGGGGCCTGGGAACAGCAGGGCGGCTGTTCCAGGAAAGGCGCCGGGATCCATCCACCACGGGAGAGGAGTCGACGGCCCTGGGAGGCTTCCCGGGATCCAGTGCCAAAGCCTCGTCCTGCCAAACCCCGCAGCCCCTGGGGAGCCGCAGCCCCCAGCCTTGGCCGAGGGAATCCCTTGCCCTGACCCCCCCCCCGGCAAGGGGACGAGGACAGGGGCCACCTCCGCTCCCCTGGGCCAGGAGTCCCCCTCTTCCTCCCCGGTGCTGTTTCCATCCAAAAAGCCCCAGCAGGACTGGTTTCTCCCACCCCACCAGTGCCTGTCCCCACTTCTCCCAGTAAGCCCCAAACTGGGCTCATTAACTGCTCCCACAGGTCCAGGATCTCCACCGCCATCACCCCAGCTGGGGTACCCATTGCAAGCTGGGGTGCTCACACCATGGGGAGCCCCCTTTTGCAGCTACTGAGACCCCGGCTCATTCCTGGGGTGCTTTTCCCACCCACCCCAATTAAATCCCTTTGGCACATCAGCACTGGCACTAGCTGGAGGACCACGACACTGGGGTGAGCGTGGGGATGCTCGCCCCTAAACCACCCCTTGGCTTTTCCTCCCAAGCCCAAACCCAGTGGAGATGGCAAAAGCCTATTTTTAGCCATTAGCATAACACCAGCTCGGTTCCCAGAAGCGGTGGTTTCCAGCTGAACACCCTCACCTGCCTCCAGCCGCACTGGGACAGCCCCCTGTCACCCCATCCGTGGGTGCCAGAGGGTAACCTGCCCTTGGGACAACATGCTGGGAAGAGGGAGGGATGTTCCCAGGGGTTTGTGATTCCGTTGGACCAGCTGTTGCTTTTTGGATGGCCCATGTGCTGCTTTTCCCCGTGGAAATGCCCACAGACAAGGGGTGCTTGGTGGGTGCCAGCTGCACCCTGAGCTCACGTTGGCCGTCACAGGGATAGGGGCCAAAGCCGGTGCACGTGGAGAAAGGTTTACACCACCCTGTGCCCCAAGACCCCTCCTGCCTTTTTCCTCCTCTCATCTTGCAGCCCCTGACCCAGCCCACCTGGAGGCTGCAACACCCCAGGGACACCCCGATACCACGGGGCAAGCACCCACACTATGCCTGGCTGACCCCACAGCAGCAAAGCCAAAGCCCAGCACAGGGGATGGAGGAGACGGTGCTACAGGTGGGAGGATTTTAACCCTGGGGGAAAGCAGCCAGGCCTGACCCTGATTGCAGGCAGGCCAGCACCTTCCCCAGGGAGCAGGATCCGGCCCAGCTGTGCTGCAGCCGGCCGGCGGGTCGCATCTGCTCCGGGGCCAAAGGGAAACCACAGCATTAATCCGAGGGGAGGGAAAGGCATTTCTGCTCCCAACACCCCTTCCCCAGGGTGCTGCCCCCCCCTTCCTGCCCCCTCCCCCCCACCTCATCCCCCGGGGGGGGTTCCAGGCCAGGCAGGGGTGTGCAGTGTGGATGCCACCTGGGGAATTGCAAGACTCAGAACAACCCTAATTAGAGCCAGGGCAGCTGCAGCCCAGAAACTCCCCTTCCCTTGGGGGGAATATCCTGGGGGAACAGCATCACCCTTTCCAGCCCAAGAGAAGCTCAAATCCGGCCCCAGGGCACCGGGCAGCTCTTTTTTTTTTTTGCAAGGCAGAAAGTAGAAACCCCTGGAAAAAGCATCTTTTCCCCCCCTCCCAGGGCTCCAGCTACACCTCCAGATGGTCCCCGGGGCTCAGCAGCTTCTTCACTCCTTCCATATCAGATAAGCAGAGCAGCACCCAAAATAGCTGGCAGACACCTCGGCCGGGAGACAGCAGCCTAGGGTTAATTCCTCCCATACCTGAGCTGACATTTCAAAGCTATTAAACAATTAATGAGATTCCTACCGTAACCCTAGAAGTTACAATCGACGAGAGGGTTCGGGGGCTCCCACCCCCAGGATGCTGCTCTCCCACCCATGGGCGCACCCCAGCTCCCTTCCACCCCAGGGATGGAGAAAAACATTCAAAACGACCAGTTGGTTTTTTTTTTTATTATGTAAAAACGGTAACTTTTATAAAAAGTTTATAAAGCAAGTACAAGGCATGTTCGCAGAAATTCACCTTCCTGCACAAAAGGTACAAAACGTTAATACTCTAGTATAGAGCTCCACAATACACGAGGCCACAGCCCCAGAGAGTTTGGTTCATACTCGAGGATGTCCCCCCCCCTCCCCAAAACCCCCT